AACAGTAGCAGTCGCACCTGAAAAAAGTGGATTAATCATCGTTAGCCACCAAACTTGCTTCCGCTGTCATGTAGTTGTTCATGCAGCTTACCTGTCGTATGTTCCTTAATCTCGTTGGGTCTTGGTTTGTACCTTGATGTGCAGCACCGGAAGAACAACCAACTGTAGTGATGATGTCGGCGGGGGTTACAATTTACAGACTGTGTACGTCTGTGACAGCTTAGGCGTGTTCATGGTCATCATATTATCACATCCGTTGATGTAAATATTTTATTATGTGTTCTTAATGGAATTTGGGAAAAAACTTACCACTATCATCTGTTATTAGTCTACTGTGTTTTAGTGGACGCAGGCTGCTGCTAAGTTTTAACACGTCTGAACGGTTTTCTGAAGAATATATATTATCAAAGCAGTTTGTGCAATGCAGGCATTTCTGTCAGTCCTAAACCTGTTCGCTTAAGAAGGGTTTAAATCCAACAAAACCGTTTTCCTAAAGCTAAAGTGTTTGGCCATGCGAAGTTAAGTATAATGTAGACCCATTTTTAAATCTCTCTGCATCACACGAACCCACACGAGCCCCACATTATTTTCAGGACAATTCTATTTGAGAGATGCTAGCCATTGTAGTTCTCTTACCGGACTCACATTTAGCCCTCAATCAGGGCCTTTTTATATTAAATCCCAGTGCGAAAAACCCTATATTAAAACAAACATGTTGACTTCCAGCGTCCGTCCATTCTGGAATCACACTCTGAATGTCCTGCATTTTCATTAGTTTTCCATACTCCTACTATTGGGTCCATACAAGTCTTTGATCAGTTTCGATGTGTCACTGCATAATGCAGCTGCAGGAGCCGCGGCTCCTCGGTGTAACCGCAGCCTGCTCTGCATGGCTCCTGGTATATGGTCTCCAGAAGTGGCTGTTAAACTGATTATTTCGAAAATACTTACTGGAAGGACTTACTGTTAAGTGCCTGGGACAGATCTATTTAGGCTCAGTCCTAAATTGTGATACAGATTTGAGCCGAAGACGAGCAACTTCTACGGAATGACCACCTAATACTGTTACTGGTAACATGGCTTGATATGAGAATGGTTTTAAAATACTTCCAACGGCATAGATGCGTACACCGATCAGTCAGAGGACCCACTCGTCCCCCATATTGCCTTTAGAGCTCTCTCTCGAGCC